AAAAACACACAAGGTACAGGTGCATCTCAAAAAAATTGATTATTGTGAAAAATGTTTTTTTCCCCAGTCAGTTCAGAAAGTGAAACTTGTTTTATTACGTAGATTAATTACACAGAGTGGGTTTTATSAAGTCCAGTCAACGCAGGACATTTTAGAGAACTCCATGTTTCTTTCTTATAAACTTTATAAAGATGCTGATTTCATTTTTCAGCAGGACTTGGCTCCTGCCCTCACCGCCAAAAGAACTAAAAGCTGCGTAGTTCTGTAGCAAAATCCATGTATCGTTTATCACCAGACAAATACAGAAAGTTTCTTATGTCCTGAGACACTGAATCTTGCTTTTWCATTATAAGTGGAGGTGATTGCAGTTTTCTGGTTGATCATYGATCTTTAAAAAGTCTGACCTGCTGTTTCTGATTTTGGCTGATACAGATTGTTTTTAAATAGCCGACACTGTCAGGTGTTATATGGTCACAAAACTCCTGAAACGATACAAACTTGTTTGAACTGGACTTTAGTTAAAGCTCACAGCRGAGCAACAGGAGACAATGGCTGATTTTCAGAGCTTTGTGGAGGTCGATGAAAAGCTGATATTTTCCATCAATCTTATCTAAGTATCGACTGAGTTAAAATTAAGGTATTTACCTGTGTGCACCCCTAATTACAAGCCATAATCATCAAAATTACRAGAAATAAAGACTTGAAATATTTGCCACAATATATAATGAATCTGTGTAATATGAGTTTCACTTTCTGACTGACAAAGTATTGAACTTTTTCTTGACAATCTAATTTTCCAAGCTTTCTATAATATAAACATGCTGAGCTAAAAACTCTCCAGTGTTCATGTCAAAAGTTTAACTCCAGCTTCGGTCATTTTTTTATGTAGAAAAGAGATCTTTGTGTTTTTTTAATTAAAAAATGACAGTCTGAAACCAAAGCTCAAAGTAATCTGAACCTTAAATGTAATAACTTGATATCTTGTTTAATTCTTGAAGAGTTTTTAGATTTTAAACGGTGAGTTTTGGTATCTTGTTCTTTGGTATGACAGAGAGCGAGTTCGACTCAGAAGATAAACGTCACAACAAGAAGTATTTAATCGTAGAACTTTAAACCTTTTTAGCTTCAAAACWAATTAGAAGTGAAACATTTTCAAGAAACTAAACTTGAAATGTAATTTTTGTTGTAGTCCTGATGATGGAGATTCTCCTCTAAAGGTCAAGTCCAGAATCCAGGGGAACAGTGACAGTTGTTTGTGTGTATGAATGAAAGAAAGAATGAGGTCACATGACTACACTTCCTGTTCTTTCACCTGAACAAAGTGGTGAGAGGCTTCCAGTCCACTGGGAACTCCACAACCTCTTTAACTGAGAGAAAACAGTTTGGGTTTTTCTGGGATCATCTAGACTTACAAAATAACATTTCATTGAAGAATTGAACGTTAATTTTTTAAGGAGTATTTTAAACTTAAATATAAATATAAAACTTGAATATGAATTGGAAATTAAATGAATAACCCAACAAAGAATGTCATCATTCCATAAAAAACAATATAATCCGGTCATTTTGTTGGTAATATTTGTTGTAGCACCCAGCCACACCTTCAGTGTTTGTGTGTAAATTCTGATCACACACACACACACACACACACACACACAC